ATTGCGATCGGAAACGTTAACGGTAAACGGTACGGAATCGGCGCGCGCGCAATTATTTCGTCGCCGCGGTTAGTCGTGACGATACCGCCGCCCGTTACTACGCGTCCGTGTGCGCGGACGGCGCGAAATTTTGCCAACGCAATTCGTTCGTTTCGTTTCGGTCAAAACCGCGGACGCCGTCGTACAACGGCGAAAAACGTCCGCGCGAAACGCCGGGAAAATCGCGTGTTCTTCGCGCGCGGACGACAACATCCGTACGGCGCGCGAAACAGACCGCCCGGGTGCGCCGTAAAACGCGCGCGTTAGACAACTCGACTTCCGTCGATGCGTTGTGACCGTAATCGGTGCCAGATCTACGGCGACCGCGACAGCGCAATAACAATAATAACAATGATTAATATCGTTATGATTTTCGTCGACGATTATCGTTGTGCCGCAATTATATTTTATTGTTGGCCGAAACGGACGCAAAACTGGTAATTGAGTACCCGAGATAACTTGTACAAAAACCGGTGCTTTTGACGAGTACATAAAACACAAGGTTGAGCGGCGATAAACGTCAGGCGATTTGCGTGGCAAGTCGAGAACAGATTGGGACGCGAACAATTTTTCTACCAGAAAGCCTACTCCGATTATCGGGTATAACACTTTTTCCGAAACGAAATGTTCTCTGGGTGGTACTCTAAAGGTTAATTTTTGAAATTCTCATTAATATTCGAGATAATGAGGAAAACCTTGTTGTTTAGGTTAAATGAGATTGTAGGATTGAAATTATGGTTGTCGTTGACCACTGTTTTTATTATATTAATATTTTTAAAAAATAACTGTTATCGTGGAAAAATTTTCAACTATAGCACATTTTCTGAAAGGAAATCTGACTAAGGTTATACTTTAGGGAGGTGATTTTTTGATTTAATAATTATATATTATATCCTGATTCCTGACTTTGTCTAATTTTGGCTGTCATAAAAATCGGACAATATTTTAAGGAAAAATTCAACACCCCATTACACTGGACCATCAGTAATGCCCATTTTCTTTATTAAAAAAAAAAAAGATAACCGGTTGGAGCCCAATTTACAAAATTACTTTTTAACATGTGCACATTTTAATCTATTAGTACAAATGTACGACTACCTGTTCGTTCGTATAGCTGAAATCTTTTTCTATGCCAAAGACGTCTGTTCAGGCCTCTCACTACCAATTTGCACTACATCATTTTAGTAATTTGAACCTGGAATCATAGGTATTTGCTTATATTTATTTATTTAATTGAAAAGTAGCTAAGTTAGTCGCAAATTTAAACTATAGTATAATGTGTTGGCATGCAAAATCAAATTTTGCATACCAACACAGTTTTAATTAATAATTATTAGATATACATATTTTAGCATTTTTCAAAAATATAATGCAATTATCGAAAAAAAAAAAAAAACCTAGGTAGTATTAAGACGTTTCGCCATGGAACCTTATTAGGGAATTCATCAAATGGATAACCATATATATTTTGTTACTAATAGTTTACGTACATTTTTCTACTTATTTAAAATGTCTTTAAATATTTTATAACTTAAAAAATAATTATATATTTAGTCCTATGTAAAATATAATAATAGTACAATCTTTTTACTCTTATTGTATGTAAATTTTGGGAGAAACTATTAAAAATCATTTTTCTAGAGTAAACGTATTGTATTAAAAAATATTTATTAAATTTACTAATAATTGAAACTAATATTATGACAATATATAAGGCACTTATATGTGAATATTTATAAACGTATTTATAATTTTTCTGCTCTGGTCGAGTTACTCAAATGTAAAGATTTAATTCCGATAATTGATCATGGACATGAGAGTAGATTTAATCAGAATTTCAATACGTTTAATACAATATATTTGTATTTTAATACTTAGTTATTACAATACTAGTTATTGGTCAAAAAAACTATTAAATATATTTTATTATAGGTTTGACTTTATGTACCTATCTATTTCATTAAATATTAATACAAATGCTTTTAATAATTTAATTATCTCTATACAATTATACTATAAATTGTATTTCAATAATTAGGATAATCTGCAATAAAATTAATAATTTATTTAAACCATTTGGAAGCGACGGTAATTGAATTTATATAAAATGATTAAAACGGGTTTGAAGACAATTAAATTAGTAAGTACCTATTCCATTAGGTAATATTGTGCATAGATAAAAAAAATAAATAGTTTAATTCATCCGTATTAAAATTAATTCTGAACAAAAATGATGATAGACGTTGTTTTTAGTTTAGATGCAACCGTTCCTCGGTAGACAATAATGTTGCAGTGACCAGGCTGTTCAGGAGGCTCCTGAAACAGAAAGAAAATTAAACATTTAATTTCCCAATAAAAAAAAAAAAAAAGGAAAACTTATTTTATAATTTATGTGAGTAGGGAACGGATTTTTTTCGAAATAAATATTTGTATGTACGTACATATAGTTAGAAACATTTGAATATACAAAAGTTGACAGCAGATATGTTTAATTAAATTAATTAATACCTACATAAATTTTGTTTTAAATTGTTTAACACTTATTTAGTCTTAAATGTTTCGGCGATAAAGGCATATTTCCTGTTTACCTACTTGATTGTGTTTTCTTTTTTATCGCTTTATAAATTGTACGAGGAACCATTTTGGATCAAATTATTTTTATTATTTATGTAAATAGCATACTTAGTTTGAAAATAGATTGTAAAATGATATCTCACGCTGATGATACAGTTGTATTAGTCAAAGAAAATCATGACTTACACAAATCATCTATATCGTGTTTGAGTAAAACTAAAAATTGGGTAGATTCAATCCAAAAGGGTTCCTTGTATCACTTATAAAGCGATAAAAAAGAACGCACGTAGCACAATCCAGTAAGTAAATAGGAAACATGCCTTTATAACCGAACAACTTAAGATTATGAATAAGTACCTACTAAACAATTTAAATGTCAAATTATTTATAGACTGTATACATATAAATATTTGAGATTTAAGATTTAAGGTTGAAAAGTTGTTAAAATTACATAATTTTTAATATTTTAATGTATTTATTTATATACATATCTATTTAATTAATTTTTCACAAAAGTTGTTCTTCCTCGGAAATGCACTACTACTTTCCGCTTTTCCGACATTTTATCCCGGTTTTTCCAAGTTATTATGAAAACCGATTGAAAAATCGCAAAAACGACCTGATAATAATAAATAATTGATAATATCAAAAAACCAAATAATCTTTTTAATCAAGATAACATAATTGCTGTTCAAAATTATTATTTGAATTATCCAATTATTGTTATTTTCTATGATACAAGAAAATAATAACAGTGTAGTTATTCCTGAAGTCTGCAGTAGACATGTTTTTGAAGAACAACTCGTAATGATTTTCTATTATTCTATTAAAACAGAAAAACAGCCAACTGAAATACCTACTCCATTTAGATTTAAAAAAGTGTGTGGGTATGATGAAAAAAAGGTTTCAAAATTTACATTAAGTCAGACGTTATTTAACCTTGTACATACTGTATATACATATTTTATTTTTTTATTTTTTTTACTTCACTGCATTCATAATGTTATGTTATATTAATTTATATGTACCAATTTTTACATTTTCACACAGATTAAGATATATTCTGGTGATGATGCTGCAGTATAAATAAGTGTGGTTAACAGATTTTTTAAATAAAAAAATTACTAATGAGAATAGTATTTTCTGATTATATTTCACAGTTTTAATTTCCGGTACATATAGTTTGAATAAAAAAATTAATTAACGTTTCAGTACGATATTTAGTGTTTTGTTGGCATTTTTTTTCAATTATATACCTACTAGTTTTATTGTTTGGTTTATTAATTTGTACCTTCATTTTATCATGCCATACCTGATGCCTACATTAATAGAATAGTTCGTTTAATCTTGGTCTGGATAAATTATTTTAGACATTAATAATTGCATATTGAACTAATTATTAGATACAATATACTCGTATTTTGCTACACACCTCCTAAAAAAATAAATTGCCGTTTTTATTTTGAAGAATATTATTTGCCAATATTTCCGTTAGGAGATCTACCCTTTTGGTTTGATGTATTTATTAATTTCTATAATAATAAGTATGTTGTTGTTACGTACGTATTTTGTACGTTACCTATATGCGAAACCTCGTGTTTTCAGTCTTGTTTCGATATAAATTGTGTTCGCCGGGATGTACTCCATCTATTTATGGAATTTTACAAAAAAATAAATGTTAAAACGAAGTTCATAAATTTGTATTTAAAGTAATAAAGTCTGTGGGCTTGTTGGATCTTCTGGCATTGCTGGACTGGATGGACGATTGTACTTAACTTTTCGAGCAGGTTAGTGACAAAATATCACCTTTAGGCATATTGTTTTTGTCCTTTAATATGTTGTTATTTTTTTTTTTATAAACGCACCTACGGCATTTATTTATTGATTTCTATGCAATTTTTAATTTCATTTTTTTTTTCATTTTCTACTGGATTATTTGAAGTTTGAATAGGTCTTGTTTTTTCATTTTTACAACTTGCAATTATATTTTCCAGCTATTGATTTTTTTTTAAAGTTTGTTTTTTATCGCTGTTTTATGATTTTTCCTAAAAAAAATCCATAATAATTATGTTTATTCAAATGGTGTGGAAGCACACTTGTATTATACAAAGTCTGATGTTATTATAATGACAAATTCCGCATAAAAGTATTTAAAAGTCATAAATAATAAATATTAAATACTATTAATTAGTTTATCACCCACAGCGTGAGCTTTTGCAAAGCTTCCAATAACTTTCCTTGAGCAATACATCAAAATAAAATAATTATATTTGTTCAAATGGCGTGGAAACGCACTCGTGTATAATGTGTGTTGTTCATAATAGGTAGTCCACAATTTATGTGTTCGGTACGGAATATATAAATCGAAATTGCGTGAAAGCATCATCAGTTATAACAAGTGTATCGTACTATAAAATCAACAACGGCCAACAACTATTGTCAACGAGAGTACAAGATTACTTTTTGCAAGATCTACTACGAAAATAGATCTAAGTCATTTGACACCTGTTCAATCGCTACAAGCCTATTCAAATATTTAACGACGAGCGCGTAGAAAGCATTACCTACAGTAATGTATTTGAATTGTATTATTTTTTACTTATTCTACGTTATTTTATTATTGCTTGGAAGTTTATCACAGTTACCAAAGGGACCTATCAGACCATCGGGACCGTCAACACCACCACCATAATGAAGAAATAACTCGTGTATGATGATTCTAGTGAACTAATAAACGAAATGAGACGGCGAAAATACAATCAAACAATAATAATCAATTTAATGAAAGTAAAGTAAAATAGAATTCGATTAATAACTTCAAAACCTTTTCAAAATCGATTACTATTAATAAGATGTTATGTGTTTATTTCGCTTCGATTGGAAATTGTATTTTTCACTGTTTCGTTTAGTATTGTAATAATATGTCATAGCAGTTTTTTTTTTTTTTTTTTAATCTACTTTTATTCTTGATTCTCATGGTTATTGGGTGCCATACACACAAAAAATCCAAGTATTTTGAGTGTTAAACTACTCATAAAATTGCGTTTAAATCTCCTGAAAAATATAATTTGATTTGCTGTAAAAGTGTATCGTACTGTAATGATATGCTCACACAACATTGTCAATCAATGTATATTGCAATCGAGTTGTCACTACCGTCCAACGATTTCAAGAGGACAGTTATATAGTTTATTTTGTTTTAATCACAAAGTACGGTCTATAATGAACCTCCTGTTAAATTTCAAAATACGGTAATTAGATGTAAGTGATTATATAGGTACAATAAGTTAGCACAAATAAATATTTTAATGGCAGAATTAGTTTAAGATAGCAAATTAATAATTAGAATTATACAGACAATATAGTTAACTAGTACAGTAAAACTTCCGTTTACGGTCATCTCTAAACACAGCCACCTCTGTGTAACTGTCATTTGTTTTTGTCCCGTCACAAGTGTTATGCCTCTATAGGAAACCTCTAAAGACCGGTCACCTTTAAATAGCGGTTATTATTTAAGGTCCCTTAGGTCACCGTTATATGGAAGTTTTACTGTATTTAAATAAAAATAAAATAGTGGCCTAAAAACTAATTGTTATTTGTAGATACAAAATGCGCCTGTTGACGTTAAAAAAAAATTCAATCCAATATACAGATTAAAATTGATTAAATGTGTATTATTTAGCAACAATTTCATGAGCTTAAGCTTGTTTCGGTGACGTTAAATTATTAGCATCGATTCACTTTTACCTAATCACTGAATTTCGAATATTTTATTGCATACAATAACAGTGAATGCAAAACCTCAGGGATTCGTGTCATGTTTAGTTGCCTAATTTACATATATACGGCGCTAGCAGTTATGTGATATTATTACGCATAAATATATTTTGCACTCTTATTAATATTATACACACAACATACACGGGTAATAGAAATTATCTACTTCAATTTTCGTCATAATTATGTTTGGTGCACAATTTTCGTTTACAAATATTAATAAACGAATTCAAATCAATTGATTTAAATATTAATAATATAAGCGGTAAAAATAAGTTTCTACCGGTTTCTATCAACAAATTAGGAGTTTATTATGAAAGAACGGTACGTTTCGTTTTGTTCAAAGTATTGTCTATTACTTGTCGCTTTGTATTTCCATATTTTCGGTCGGATATCACCTCGGCAGAAATCTTCTTCTTCTTACGAGGCTATCTACGAATTTACCCGATTTTCGGTATCTTCATACCACGGTGCCAAGCGTTGCTCAAACAGACCGTCCATTATCGATCGGAACAAAAGATAATCGGAAGAAGCAATGTCTGATAAATACCGCGGGCGGGGTAGGATTTTCCAATTACGTGTTTTTAAATAGGTTTTGACGGGCACCGTGATACAATAGGAACAAAATATGCAGTTCGGTACCGATTCGAAATTTCACCTTTTTTTTTTTTTTCTATAACGCCTTTTCAACACGCGCTTTTACTTTGTAACGTTATCGAAACTCATGCGGTTTTTTTTTTTAAATTTATATGCATTTTTGCATTTAAACCGATCAGTAGTTTGGATAAGAAGTGGTAACAAATTCATTCATCCGCCTAAATAAACATTTGCATTTATAATTTTAGTGAGACGTAAAAAAATAATTTATAAAAGTATTTATAAACACGTTTCCAAAATATCTGTACCTGTATGCAAATAGTTTTTTTTTTTTTTTTAGAAAATTGTTTGAATGCTTATAATTTCGTTTTCATTTTCGGCCAATAGCGGTCTATTTAGAAGAATCACCGTTTCTAAAATGCTTTTCCACCTCTCTTTGTCCAATGTCGTTTCCATATCCAGCAATCGATTGACTTTTTTTCGATCTTTTTCTACTGTATAATAACGTCCTCCGCCGAGACTTGTCTTTTGGCAGTGTTTCTTTCAAGTATGGTCAAGGTTCCCTTTTTAGAAAATTTAAAGACTAGTAAAGAAATATCAAATATTAGAAAAATTGTATTTTTATATCACGGTCACAATGACCTACCCGTACTCTATTTACAAATTCATTTTTTTCCCAATGGAAATCATTAATTGCCTAGATAATATTGTTGGATACCCATGACAATAAATATCATTGAATATCAAAAACAATATCATTGGTTTATTAAAAGCGTATAATTAATGTACCCATAGTGGTGTACTTATTACTTGACTATCTTTTAAACGGTGAAGTGTGTTGCTTGTAGTCGTGTTACAACTTACAGCGGATACACAATTTGTGCTAAACAATAAAAACAATAAAATTATAAATATATATATTTTTTTTTTAAATTTAATTTAATTGAACTACTGCAATTGCTCCAACCTTACGGTATATTAGATTCAACAAAATGGTTTAATCCTATACCAGTTCGTTAGTATGTATTTAACTTTTAAGTTATGTATAGGAATAAATGCATGACGTGCGCATATCATATCTAGGTTGTAGGCATATTATTATTTTTTTCGTGTGAAATTGTATAACCTAACCCAACCAATTTGATTATTTGTATCTGCCTAAACTTAAAACTAGGTTATCTCGTTAACGGATTGACGGAAGTTAAAAATTAAAACACCTACTAAAATATTTTCGAACTCGTACTTCATTTGTTTATGTCGTTTTTAACATAGTGTATCGTTTGAAAATCAAAAGTAGGCATCTAGTGGTTGCAAAAACGACGGTAATGCAACATTTTGGAGCGTGTTTTTTTCTTCTTAAATGTTCTCGAATTCAGAAAAAGGTAATTATCATTATCGAACAATTTGTTTTTCCTGATGTAATATAAATGCCATCGCCCCTAGCCGGAGAAAATCGTCCGAAAGGAACGCTGCCCTCTGGCGGTCAACGTATATTATAAATACGTTTTGAAATCGCACCCGTAATCGCTATAAAAAATTCTCGGAAAGAGGCATTTATTTCGAGTTCGGTGTCTGTATTGTCATGTTTTACTACCCGCGGAAGAAAAACAAACATGTCGATTATTTGCTATTGTATAATATACGTAATATTGTTATTATTAATGTCCGTACAATTATTATTATTATTATTATTATTGTTATTTTTTATTTTCCATTCCAAGGAAACGTGTTTGCTTATTGCGTGTACGCCGCGGCAATAATAATTACAATACGCGCGCTAAGTACCTATACAACAATATACATATTGCACACCAATACACTATATATTTATTTAACAAGCGACGGTCTCTCTTTTCTTTTTTTTTTTTTCCCATTATATTTGCGAGACGTTTAATTATTTTGCTGTAGGTAAACGATTTCATAATAATAACGTAGCTACACTTCGTATACGTCGCATAGTAGGTATGCGGACGTATCTTTTTAATTTATACAGGGTGCATCTAAGGGATTTGATCATTTCCCGTGCAATCGCAAAGAAAATAGTCGAAGCGTGTAAATACACCCTGTATATTAAGCTTTCTACAGAATACTCGAACGAGTCGTGCGGACTGCACGAAATATTATCATGTGTTATAACAACAATAATAGTAACAAAACACTTACGTAGGGTATTAATATATTCTATAAGAAATAGGTAATATTCCGATTGAGACATCATAATATAATATTATGTTACTTTTATTATTTTCAAAATATCGACAGACTTTCGGTTGTATAACTGTAATGTTTACAACGCAGAGAAATAAAAAAACAAAAATGTAATATTGTTAATAAAGTCATCACTTTTTCTCAAAAACTAAATAATCATAATAATAATAATAATGGTCATATTACAACGGTATCGTGTTTTTTTTTTTTTTTTAATTAAAAATCGTCTTACGTCTGCAAATATACATTTTCGACGAGTATTTATCAAGTCGAAAATCGAGTTTTCGCATTAGATTCCGAGTGGAACGAAGAAGCTTAATATGGTATCACAACGATGTTTATTATTATTATTTTTTTTCTGCGGACAACTTTTCTTACCAGAAATCTCGCTCCAATATTTAAGTGGAACGTATTATTGCGTAGTGTGTTTAAAACTAAAAAATAAAATTGACCAGGGGCTCAGTTCTCCAGAACCGGACACATGTTATCACATCAACGTAGTTATTACCGTAACTACGTTAAGAAAAAATTTGATTAAAAACGCCGCGTAATATTGTTTATGTAAAAACAGATTTATGTGTTCGCCGCAGAATGTTGTAGGCAATCGAAAATGCACAACGTGCATAGTGTGTACCGCATAATATTACGGATAAAATGCAACTAGCGGAAAAATAGTATGCACATATTCGTATTGTTTCTACGATAAATTTGTTTTGTTCGAGCAAGTACGTGTATATTATTATTGTCAATAACGGTTAGGCATCAGGGTTCGGTTTCAAAGCGCCAACGTCGCACAATAATATTTCGTGTAGAATTCAATTGTTCGACGTCGGTAACCGAGACGTCTGTTCAACGGACCCGACGGCGATAACAATATTTGATGTCCGGAGCCCCGGGTGGTTTTAGTCGTTATTTACGCGGGCGATGGAAAACGGTAAATTATAAATAAAAATATTCGCTTCGGCCGGTCGGCTCCGCGAAGAGCGCGTAGAAAACCCGAGGGGAACGCGAATTGAACACGACCCGCCGTCACAACGACGTTAACGGGCCGTCGTATTTTCGACCCGGAACGTGCCGTATCGCCGCGGGCGTGTCATGCGCGCGGGCTTTATTATAAAGTTCCTGTCCGTCCGCGGCGGTCGGCCATTCGACTATAGGAACCGTCGACTCCGGCCGGTCGCGGTTTCCGGCGGCGAAAACCGTCTCGCTGACAATGTTTTCCGATAAAAACGACGAAAAACCGCCACCGCCACGGTGGCGATCACCGGGGCGATTTTTCGCGATCCGCGCGCGCGAAATCGAACGGGTAACGTTTTCCGGGCGACAACGCGGCCGCGAGCGCGGCAAACATGTACGTGCGTGCGGTACGCACAATCGGAAAAGCCGAAAACGCGCGAGTATCGCCGGGCACCCGGCAGAATAGCCGAACGCGAATACAATGTTACAATATAATAAAACACGCTCACTCGGTTCGACCTACGGCGAATTGCGGAACGACAAGGACGCGTGTCGAAAATTATGTGTTAGAAAAAAAAAAAAACCACGCAAAAATCAAAAAATACGCGTGCGCATACCCATACGTAATTTACCCACGCGCGCTGCGTACATACAGCCGTACAGGCGCCTCTGTACGTAATCTTGCGTTGCATTCGACGTCTCCGTACGAATCGGGTTCACGTTCAATACCCGTTCGAACATAATTATCCCGGTCATCGTAAAACAACGATAGCGCCAAGTGAAATATGTATTAAAAAAAAAAAAAATAAAATAATAATAATAGTAATAATAACGATAAATTCATATTATAATTGACGTTTCCGTAGTTTGAGCGGCTGCGTAGCGTTGCGGAAACGGCTGATTTTTTTTATTTTTTTTTTTTTTTTTTTTTTTTTATTTATGTTTCGGCCGTCATTGATGTCGTTCGAAACTCCTAAACATGTCGGGGGAAAACAAAAAAAACAACCAAAACATAATACATATCTATTTCAAATAAACGCGCTTTTGTGCGAATGAAATTCGCACGTTATTTACTGTCTATGTTTTTTTTTTTTTTAAATTCCGAGCGAAACGAGAGGAATCTATTGGTTTTGCTACGATGTGTTTTTTTTTCCGCGTTTGTACCTACAAAAGCGAATTGCTCTAATCAAAATCAAAATTCTACGCCGACTTCTTCGTAACTAGCACTTTTGATCTGATTGGTGCACCATTCAGAGGTTATTTTTCGATTTTCCTCGCAGTTTTCTTAATGAACCGGCAACTGTTTGGTTATTTCTGGGTCGTCTTACCAAGCAACAAGGGGAAAAATAATAGACTATGTTAATTATTGCAGAGTACTCGGCTCAGAATCGTTAGCGATGGTTTACCGTTTGCGTGCAGATAACATCTAATATTTAATGTACATTATACGTGAAATTAATCTATACATTACCTCCCTTCCAACTTTACCTCTTAAAACAGTGGCACACGCATCGGCCTTTTTTTGTCTGTTCTATGGACGGTCCGTTTAGTTTAGATGCACCGTCGTGCCTATAACGCTTTTAATTGTTAAACACCCGGTACCATATGGGGAATTGCCTGTCGGTTTTTTTCACCAGTTATTTTATTTTCCATAGGTCTTTTCATAATAACAAAATCTCCTCACACCAGACGCGTTCCGATGTCCGCTTCGGTCTCTTTCTGGACTTCACGAGATGTACTCATCCGGCTCATTTACAAACGTTCACCGCTGGTTCTTAAAATAATGTATATTTTTTTTCTTTTGATAATAATCCAGCGTGTACTGTAAGGTACACAATACACATCGTTCGACTATCGGTATCTCGACGCATACCGAGCGATATAATGCCTTTTATTATTATTAATACAAATATCGTACTAATTATTTACGTTCCTCTCCATCGCAATATTACAATACAATGCATTATATCGTGTATACATATATTATAAATATTCGTTACATAATTGATTTTCTCTCTGAAGATTGAACGATCGATTATTATTATTATTATTAATTTTCTTAAACTATTCCATTGAACTTGAATTATTATATAATTATACAGTCTGCAGTTCGTATTGTGTTAAACGTAGGGGATAAATTATCTGCGAGTTAGTTAGTGCGAGTGTAATATACATAAAAAAAAAAAATAATAATCAGTGTTGACGCTCGTTGTATTAACAATGACTCCGATGTAGGCAGAAAAAAAAAAAAAAAAATGGGAAATTTAGAGCTCGAAAATTTAATTTGTTATCGATGACAAACATGTTTTGTGCTTCAGCGTCTTACGTATGATACACGCGAATATTTTAATATATCACACAGCGTATTATTTGTTTAATATTATATTATGTTCATATCATAAATTGCATGCGTCACGCAGCTATATCGTCAAACTATCGGATGAAATAATTAATTTTTTTTTCCTCCATTTTTTTGGCCGTCTAATTATTTTTTCGTAGGCCTCAAAGTATACGGCATGTACTGCAAACTCGCAAGGTCTTAAAATATTATTATTAGATTTCGTCGAATCATTGGCTGCAGAAAAAAAGTGGTCCATTGGACGAATATAATATTTCGTACGGACAATTTTTAAGTAAATTCAAACGCAGTTTTCCCGATAAATTGGAAAAACGGGAAAACATACGAAATGTAGGCATTAGTTAAAAATATTACGGCCTTTTTTTCCTACTGTGAACAAGTTTTCTATCAGCAAATTAGATTTATATTTTCCGATGAGAGTATGCGACTGAACAAATTTCATGAATCATCCAGAAATGGAAATCAAACAAAATAAAAAATAGTCATTGATAGTATTGTGGCTCGCTAAAATCTAAATTATTTTCAAAATGGGTCGTACCCTAAAATGTTAGGTAACATCTGCTGTAGCATATTTGCTCTAGTGATTACTCCAGGGTCCACCGGTGTAACGTTTATTTTCGCATTTTTTTTCTTTCCGTAACGATTTCCTTGGTACTTGCCTATGATGCAAGTTTTGTCGAATATTCGTATCAATAAATATTCATTTCTTTGGAGATTTACGCGAGACACAATAATTGCTCAGAAAACGTAGGTATATAAATGCCGTAGTGCAGCGTCGTGGATGTTTTCACAATCGCCAGGAGTGTTATTTCACGGTACAGAATTGCATTTTTATTTCATAATATGATATTGTTCTCGTCTACGGTCGCTTTTCATTTTCTAAAATTTATAAATCAACATTTAATGGCATACGGGTTTAATATTATAATAGGTACGCGCATGTCTATCTATTCAAAAATACCTAACCGTGTTGACGCCGTAGACCGTTTATTAAAATCCATACACAATGGTAATCTTATTTAGACAAATCGTCTAAAATTTTTTTTTTTTTTTTTTTAATATTACTTAATGACTGCTGTGTTTCTTCCGTTCGTGCCAAACTAACTTTATTACGCGCGCGTATACTTTACTATTCTACGACTTTGATATATGTTTTTTAACCGCTCGCCCCACATCTGCAAACCCATAGCGGGCAAATCCAACGCGATCGTTAGTGGAAATTGATATTGTCATTATATTAAATGTAATATAAGTAAGTATGCATTTAATTCCGTCACACGAAAACGATCTATCATTCGCGCGATAATATTATCT